CATTTGAGCTACAAGTGCCGATCTAGCATTTCTTTTTTTTTTTTTTTTTTTTGAGATGGAGTTTCACTTTGTTGCCCTAGGTAGAATTCTGTGCCATCACAGCTCACAGCAACCTCCAGCTCTTGGGCTTAGGCAATTCTCTTGCCTCAGCCTCTCGAGTAGCTGGGACTACAGTTTGTTGCAGTTTGGCTGGGGCCTGGTTTGAACCCGCCACCCACCCTTGGTATATGGGTCTGGCGCCCAACTCACAGGTGCTGCCCCCTAGCATTTCTTTTAATACAACTCTGAAATCCCCATTTTACCAAAGAGATGACTGGCACAAAAAAATAAATAACCTTCTCAAGATGGCACAGCCAGTGAGAATCAAACCAGGTAGCATATTTTGAAAACTCATGCTTTTTCTACTATACTATAAATGTTCAGCAATAATGGAATAAAATAGCCTTGAGAAACAATTTTTAATAAGTGAAAAAATATGTGGTACAATTTCACTGTTAAAAACAGTGCTCAGAAAAATAAATCCCCAAAGAAGCATGCCAGTATGTTAGCTGTGTCTGCCTTTAGTTGGCAGAGTTATAGGTGATTTGATTGTAGCAGTGTCAGTTTAAGGATTATTTAGAGATGACAGCAGCATATGTATATATACAGTGAAGTGTGTCGTGACCACATAAATGATCACACGAGACACAGATTGACAGTACACGCTGCAAGAGGTGAGGCTAACTGCAGGTGCAGGATAGCCCTGAGCACTTCTCGCAGTCTTTTTATTGATAAGATACATAGTAGGCCGAAAGATTACCAAGCAAAGACATGAAGGGGCTGCCTGCCCGGGAAAATGATCTCATAGGTGCCAACAGAATATGGACTTAAGGAAATGATCTTCAGGGGTGGTAAGGAAATGATCTCTAAAATACTAAATGCAATTTTTCTCCACTAATCCTATAAGGAACTGTCATAAAATGCTTAATATTTAACAATAGCCTTACTATTACAGCGCTGAACTTTGCTTCTCCAGGATTACTGAGTTACTTGGTGGCTTGCCTTCCAAGTCACAAGAGATTTCCAGGCTTGTCAGGAGAATGTCTTGTTCTCAATAATTCCTCAGATGAGTTATGATACTGGTGACTGTTGTAGTAAGTATGATGTTTAACCCTCTATAGTGAAGTATGTGGCGTCCCTAGTACCAATCTTCTGCCCTTCCTAAAACAGGCTCATCCTGTTTTTATTTTATCAATCAGCCTACGTCATACTTTGATCTTTCTTTTCTTCTTTTTTTTTTCTTCCGAGATGGTCTCACTCTCTCTCATTGCCCAGGCTGGGGTTCAGTGGTGCAATCATAGCTCACTGCAGCCTCAAACTCCAGACCTCAAATGATCCTCCCATCTCAGCCTCCCAAATTGGTGCTAGGATTACAGTTGTGATCCACCGCATCTGGCCTGATCTTTCTATTTTTAGGTTGCTCCGGATAGTAAGTTCTTCATTAGTATTTCTGTGATTTCTTTTT